TCAAGCCTCATCCATACTGCCAGATGCGCTCGTGGAGACTTGCGGAGCCGGCTGCGAGTATAAACGAGCATTACGAGACAGGCTGCGTGAGTGCGGCAAGCATGAACGGCTCGTCCGTGACGCGGGATTCGCGCCGCGTGGGGCAGAGAGGAAAAAGCACAAATATTTGTCCTGAAGTTCATCATTTTGGTTTTATTCTGTAGCCTGATTTCTCAAACCCCCTAAAATCTTAAAATTAGTAACTACAATGAAAGAAATCTCACGCAAAGTCTCATCTTTTTTAGTGTCTCTACTAATTTAGTGCGGTCTGGCCACCAGTCATTTAATGAATGATTAAATTAATTGCTCATTCTTGTGGTGAATGAAATGTTTTCAAGCTGTTGCTTCTTAAGCCTGTGATTTTTAAACCCCCGCTGTGCTCCTAAAGCTGTTTAGCACGTCGTCTTGCTTAAATTCTAGTTGCTAGTTTTTGGCTTATTGAAAGTATGAGGATTTTAACCTCAGCAAGTAGAAAACCACAGTTTCATGCAGCCCTGTTTGGATCCAGCTCCCCACTGAGTTCTGTGCGGCCGGTTGAAACACGTCCCTCTGATCATCTCTAAAGACTTTGTCATTAACTAGATCTGAACTGCGTCAAACAGGGATTTGCTGTATCTTCAGTGCCATCTACACTGTGACAAAACTGGAACGCTCTGGTTATAATCAGCAAAGCTGTCTGCACTGCATGCGGACAACATCGTTATAATCAACAGCAACTTCGCAGACAGTAGCTTTGTAGACCATTTTTTACTGTAACTAGAGATTTGTAGCCAACTTTAATTTTAACACAGCCTTGTTGATAAGCAAACTAGTTTATTATTACAAGAACATTCTAATTTGCTTATGTGGTCTAGACATGTTTTTCATTCAGCGTCGACTGTATGCGCTCTTTCTCTCTCTGCAAGATTCCTTAAACTATTCGAGGAAACTTCAAGACCTGGATAAATCAAATTAATTAAAAGAGGAAATCAGATTTTTGTGGAGATGTTCAGAGCTGATAACAACTGCGTGATGGACGACGGCACGTTTTAATGAACAGACAGACAGAGGCTGTTTCATTTCACCTTTAGCCAGAACATTGTGTTCTTCTCTCTCTGCGGCACATCTTTTGTTCTTTATCCTCATGCTTTTCTTAAAGGGTAACTCACACAAAAACACGTTCAGTTCTTATTTCACCCCAAAATCAAAAGCAAATAATAAGAAAATACATTATATATGAAGCAAATGAAGTCTATTTTGTATAGTAACTGTTATTTGCATCACAATTAAGCACATTTCTCATCACTGTAATGAGTGTGGGCATTTTACTTCAGGGTTTGTTTGTAATTCTCATTATTCTTTATGATGTTTCTCATTAGATTCATTACTGTAATAAAGTCACAAAAATCCCTCTCTTTTTGTTGACATCAGAATAAATTAAAGACAGCACAAATACTATTATAGTGTATATACTTCATAATTTATATATATATTTTATTTTTTTAGGTAAGGAAACTAAGAAATTTATTTTTCTTGAGGATTATAAAACCTGTTTTAGACATTTATTTATTTATTGCACTGAAATTTTTATGGCAATTAACTTGCCCTACTGCCTAATTTGTGGTAGTTTAAATAAATAAAAATGACAATAAATGAATTAATCACTGTGTCCAGACAAGATTATTTCCATGACCTTATTGCAGTAATGGAAATCTGATTAAAAAAAAATCACCATTAAAAATAATAAGTGAAGTAAAGTAAAATGTCCACAATCAATACAGTAATGGTGCTTAATTGTTATTAATTGCAAATTGTAAAAGAAAAAATAAGTTTGGTTTTCTTATTTTGATTTTGGGGTTAAAATTACCTGAAATTAGATTTAAAATAATAAAATTACAGTTGCAACTAAAATTATACTGTATTGCATATGTTTCTTGGATAGATAAATAACAGAACAAAGATACAAATGAAATAATCAGTGCTTTATATTTTTCAGGCAAGTCTAACTTTATTCAGGTACAGAAATTGAATAATCAAATGTTTCCACAATCAATACAGTAATGGTGCTTAATTGTTATTAATTGCAAATTGTAAAAGAAAAAAACTTAATGATCCTAAAATAAGTTTGGTTTTCTTATTTTGATTTTGGGGTTAAAATGACCTGAAATGAGATTTAAAATAATAAAATTACAGTTGCAACTAAAATTATACTGTATTGCATATGTTTCTTGGAGTCATCTTTGCTTATAGGCTGTGTTTCTGTCTTCAGGAGACGCTCCATATTGCACTCCGGAACAGTACAAGGAATGTGCAGATCCCGCTCTAGGTGAGAAATTCGTTCTGAAAGCGTTTCAGTCTAGAGGCCAGTTCTCCTGAACCTGAGGCCATGATGTGACAGCTGGATTTATGACCCCTTCTAACCGCACCACCCACTTCCCCAGGCCTTTTTATACTTCATCATCTGTCCCGTTGTTTTTCCAGCCAGGATTTTTGAGGTTAAGAGAAATGTTCTGTCTTTTTCTCCGGCTCTAGATTTTCTGGTGGAGAGAGACAATGACTACTGCGTTTGCGACACGCCCTGCAACATGACGCGCTACGGCAAAGAGCTGTCCTTCGTCAAGATCCCCAGCAAAGCCTCTGCCAAATACCTGGCCAAGAAGTTCAACAAGACGGAGCAGTACATCGCGTGAGTCTTGGGTTCAAGCCCAAATCCTAGAGTTTTGGCCATGACAAGACATTTGTCGGTTTATATTTCTCTCACGTTGCACTAGATATCTCGGAAAACTCGGTACACCAAAACACTGAGCAGTTTTGCTAATCTGACATTGCGCAACTTTATATGAACAAGGTGAAGTTTGTACAGTCACTTAAAATGAGAAATATTTACATAATTGATAAAATGACTTTTTAAAGAATATTTCTTGCAGTTGGCAAAGGTTTTTTTTCTGAGCATGTTTTAAAGGGATAGTTCACCCAAAAATGAAAATTCTGTCATTAATTACTCACCCTCGTGTTGTTCGAAACCCGTAAGACCTTCGTTCATCTTCGGAACACAATTTAAGATATTTTTGATGAAATATGAGGGCTCTCTGACCCTCTCTGACAGTATCATGCCACGAGCGTGTGACGGCGCTGACCCAGATCCGGCGTAATGACGTCATTCGTAATGACGTTGTGAACGCGTGTCCACAAGTGACACAGAAGAGACGAAAATGTGGAATAAAGTCGTTATTTTTGGTTTCTTTGCACAAAAAAGTATTCTCGTAGCTTCGTAACTTTACAGTTGAACCACTGATGTCACACGGA